TTCACAAGGTTTACACCGCCTTTAAAATATTTCACACTCCTGCCCTGACCAGTTTGGCTCAGTGGATAGAGTGTCAGCCTGAGACTGAAGGGTCCCAGGTTAGATTCCAGTCAAGGGCATGGACCTCGGTTGTGGGCACATCTCCGGTAGAGGGTGGGTAGGAGGCAGCTGATCGATGTTTCTCATCAATGTTTCTAGCTCTCTATCCCTCTCCATTCCTCTCTATAAAAAACAAATCAATAAAATATGTTAAAGATATTCCACACTCCTTTGATATTGCCTTATATTTACTTAATATTGGTTTTATAAATTTTTAATTTTACCAATTCTGTACAGCTCTACATGAAATTTTTTTTTGTAATTTGACTTCATTACTAAGTTTCAGTACTTGGCAGCCATAACTTAGAGAATGTTGTTTAATAGTTTGCTTGCATGTTAACAACAAAACCTATGGAGGATCCACAAAATCATGACATGGAACACATTTCTGAGGCACCTGAACATCAAAGCAAGTGCTTTGGCAATACTTAACGTACCGCCTGCGATGCCTTGGGCCTGTTTCAATGAGAAAACTTGTAAATATCAGGGCTACATGCTCTAAATATATAAAAACTCATGCATTTTCCCAAGCCCTCTGGTCACCAACTACGGCATTTGGTGCCTCAATAATACTGTGGCATGGCACACCCGCAAAGCACCTTACAATATTCAAGCAAGGTTTTTGCTCTGAGACAGAATAAAACTCTTCAAGAAATATTTTTTAAATTGCAAGTATGTAACACTGGTGACCATCAGGGTCTGAGGCTGCCCAGGGAGCAGGCCCAGGCACCGTCCATCCTGCTGTGACACAGGCCTCACTGTGCCATCCTGCCATGAGTGCTGCAGGTGCTGTCACCCCTGGACTGTGAGCTCCCTGAGGATGAGGACTCTTTTAAATGTGGTAGTTTTTATTCTTTCGGGGGAAGAGGGGATGGGCCAACACCTTCTAGATTTTGTTTGGAAACAAACAGAAATTTCTCCTACGGTGCATAGTTTCATAAGTTGAGTTGGATATAATGAAATAATATTATAACTAAATATCATCCTATAATATGTATTATAATAAAAATAATCTAATCTAATATTTATTGGGTATTTACCTGTATAAGACCTGAGCTAAGCACTATTATTTTAAAGTCTGAAACATTATTAAGACATTTTACTTATTAATCACCTATAAGGTAGAAAATAAGAATTAATACAAAATATAATTTTCTGTAGGCTGAGCTATAACCTGATATCATCACCATAACCAGTAACTAGCACATAAGTTGCTCTAGGTAACAGATAATAACAAAGGGTGGTAAAGATGATGTGAAGTGCTAATAATGACTGTTCTGGTTGCATTGGGAAAGAAAAGGTTATCTGTTGAATAAAAATTAGATGTAAAATATGTTGAATTTGCTCAGTGATTTGAGTCTTAGAAGCTAAAATTTTAAAGCTACTGTGGGCAAAAAGTTCTTACAGGCAAATAAATGGCACAGATTCTTTATCTCCAAATTGTTTAACTCCCCCTGGGAAAAAAAAAAAGGTAAATATTAGGGATGTAATTAGCCCATCAGGGCAGACCTAACTTTGTGTCTGTAAAACACTTTGTTTAAACTTCTCCTTCTTGTTCCTGCTGCTGAACTCTATGCTCCCTGCTAGCAAGGCCTCCTGTCTCTTCGCAGCTGTCCATTCAGAACTCGGAAGAGGATGAGCCACATAGGAGCTCTTAGAAGGAATCAGGTATTGATAAAATAGGGGGAAAAAATCCCCTTAAATCTACAGTGTTTCAATGGTTTACTGCCAAAACTATAAACTGAGAGCCTGAGTGTGAGTTAATATTTAAGCATCCCTAAAATAATCCCATTAACTCTCAGGGCAGGATGCATCAATGTGACTGAGGTTTACCATGCATGGGCTTAAAATTTCGCTTTTTCTCATTAGAGAGATTTTGCGAGGACTCCCCCCCCCGCCCCCCCCCCCCAAATCAGGTGTATAACATCACCCTTATAGTTGCAATTTAAAAAACTTCCAGCTCCTGTAACCAAGATGCACCCAAATGAATCCCTCCATCAGGAAAAAACTGAACTAAGTCTCCTCAGTCATTCCGAGCCCGCTTCTCAGAGGGACTGCTGCAGTCATGCAGTGGACGGACCAGTACACTGCCCTGTGAGAGACTGACCTTGTCATGGTGATCTGAGATGATTATCTGAGATGGCCAAGTTTCTGAGGAGAAACCAAGTTCCCTGAGCAAACTATGTGCCTCCGAAGAGCATAACTACATCTTCTACAGCCCAAGCACCACCACTTCCTAGGTGTGAGCTAATGAAATCACTGCAAATCAAAATACAATATTCTAGGAAGCTCAGTCTAGCAGGCAGAAGCTGGAAAAATAATTGTATGATGAAAGCTACTCTGCAAAACTAGCTCTTAAAAGTCTGTCATAGTATATAAAACCTGACTTTTTGTTTGTATTAGAGTTAGCCAACTACCAAGTCTGAGGGTACTGTCCCCCAACTGTTCTCACTTTAAAAAAAAAAAAAAATATATATATATATATATATATATATATATATATATATATATATATATATTATTGATTCCAGAGAGGAAGGGAAAAGGAGAGAGAGAAACATAAATGATAAAATGATAAAGGGATTGAGCCTGCAACCTGGGCAGGTGCCCTTGATCAGAATTGAATCTTGGACCCTTCAGTCCTCAGGCCGACAACTCTATCCACTGAGCCAAACCAGCCAGGGCTGTTCTCACTTCTTACATTATCAGCAAGTTCAAGGGGTTCCTAAACCATCTTAATTCTCGCTGAGAGGATTCACATGTTATCATGGAGAAGGTAAGTCCTCATGACGTTATTTTTGTGCTCCGTGCAGCTTTTCCTTCTCCCGTATAAATTACATGGGAGAAGAGTGTCTTCTAACCTAAAACCCGTTTTAGCCCTCTCTCTTGAAAATCCAGCTTCCACCAATCTTCACATCTGCTAGACTCTCCTTTGCTCCTTCTCTCCAGGTGAATGAGCTAAACTGTGTCCCCTCCCTCTCAATTCATATATTGAAGTTCTGATGCATGGTATGAAGGTCATTAAGTTAAAATGAAGTCAATAGAATGAACCCTTATCAAATGGGATTTATAAAAAGAGAGGGCGATTAGGAGATGGATGCAAAGAGGGAAGACCATGGGAAGACAGGGAAGAAACAGCCATCTACCTGCCAAGGAGAGAAACCTCAGAACCAACCAACCTGCTGGCACCTTGAAACTCTACCCCGAGAACTGTGAGGAAGTAAACTCCATTGTTTAAGCTACTCAGTCTGTAGTACTTGGCCATGGTAGCCCTAGCAAACTCACCAATCAACCACTGATTCTTGTTAATCTTTCAATGAGTTCTTTGCATCAGTCTCTTTTCTTTCACTTATAGAGACCTCTCATCTAGTACTTCCAGTTTTTGTTTCTCATGTCTCCAATCAAAGCTCACATTCACTAATATTCTTAAAAAAGCACCGATATCAAGGTACTCACCTGGTCAAAGACTTCTTGCTACATGAAGATCCACTTCTTAGCCCAACAGCTAATGAATGACCCTATCAATCTTTCCAACTTTATTTTGTGAGGATCTTATCGAAGATACCCATCAACTGTAGAGCATGATTTTTCTTCTGAACACCTTTCCTTCCACCAAAACTCTTCTTTAAGCCTCATCTAAAACTTCATCTTTATGATGACTTCCTATATCATCCTAGTCAAAAGTGATTTCCTTTGATTTATCTCAAGTTTTTGTTATTTGTATACCTATTATCTTCTAATGAAGAAACAGCCAGGGCACCAAGTCAAAAATTATCATAGTATTGAGACAAAAAAGGTTAAAAATGTAGCTTTATCATTAGGGGGGAAGATAAAAATCATAAAAATACCTGTATAGTATACATTCTAAAATCAAGTCTACATGCAATTCTATGTTTAAATTCTTAAGATAGCACATTAACCCTTTAAGAGTGAGATTTATCCACTATTCTTAGAAGGTCTCTCCCTCTGGCCCCTATATAATTTACTAACGAAGAATGAAGGTTTTTGTATATTTAAATATACCTCAAACCATCTTTAAAAAATATTTTAATCAATATTAAAATAACACTAATATCCATTATCACACAAATTACGTGATAGCAAAAGGTAATAACATTCCACCTTGGGGTTCAATCATTTTATCAAATGCTCAGAAACATGCACAAGAAAGGCGGTCAGAGCCCAATGCCATCTTTCAATTAAACATGTCACAACACCTTTTTTTTTTTGTGTGTGTGTGTGTGTGTGTGTGTGTGTGTGTTGCTACCAACAGAGGTTACACAATAGCACTATTTATACACTCGGGAAAATTCTGAATGATGCCTTCTTACTTAATGTGAGACATGGCAGCAAAGGAAAAGTACAGAATTATGGGTCACAGATACTTTGATCCATCAATTACAGAACCTTAACAAAGGTAGCAATTTAACATCACCTTCATAATCTAGGGTAAGGTGAAGTCTGTGATTTAAATGCTTTCAAGGTAGATGTGAATAAATGAAACAGTTTAAACATAAGAAAAGGGGATACCCCAATTTTGACATGTCCATCATTTTATTATGCAAAAGTGAATAATTTCTATGTTTTCATTAAAAGACATGGCAACTTAATATCGCCTTTATTAACAAGAGTAGCCTATCTTATATATTCGCAAATGAAAATTCTATTACTATTGCTTTCTATTTCCCCTTAGTTTATAAAATCGAGTTGTAAAAGCTTTCATCAAATGCCTTGTCCTTGCGTTTGAATTTTACGATAGCAGATAACAGGAGTCCATCTCAACCCATCTACTTCCACATTATCCAGAGGGCTACACACCAAATAACCTCCTGTTCAAAAAGCAATGAAGTTGTCCTTTCATCTTGTCAAAAAGAGTAATTATAATACTTTTAAAAACTTACTTGAACTTTGCTTCCACCTCCTCAGCAGCTTTCTGATATTGTTCAGTGGTGACTTTGTAGAACTCTGAGCTCTGTGGATAAAGATTGATAGCAGAGTTTTCACTTTCCAAGAGGACAAAACGTGTGCAAGGTGTACAATGGCAAAAAACACATAAGCTTTTGCTTCAGCCACTCAAGCGGTAGGGGAAAGACTTCTTACGCAAATGGAATGGATTCTTATAAAATTTCATGTACCAGTATCCAATTGTGGGTACCTAGGTTGAAAGTACAGTGTAAACCCAATTATACCCCATAGGTATAATTCATTATTTGATCCCTCTGATAAAACTCCTAACATAGATCTCCCTTATTTGGAATCGACCACTGTAAGATTAAAAGATGCTTAAGACTGAATAATGAAATTCACGCCTATCACATTGGCCTATTATTCCAGTGTTCCACCTGGGATATTAAAGATCATTTCCTTTTACACTGTGTTTGTGTCTTCAAGACGGATTCTCTATGGAGTAGAATGTGTTCAATCACCTCAGGTGACCACAAGAGCATCAATATTTATAACAAATTAATCAGTAAGAATGAAGTGATGGATTGACATAATTTTTATACCAAAAAAGTTTCCATTATTCCATGAATGAACACATAAGCAACATAAATCAATTTGTAATAGCAAAGTAATGCTTTTCCTGTGGAAGCAAGATTAAAAATTATCCATTCGGGCTGGCTACTTTGCAGCCTGTCTGCAGGGGGTGGCCTCGATGACCCCGGGAGCCTTCAGACTCAATAAAATATCCTGCAAAAGGCACGGCAGTGCAAATGAACACAATGCAGCTGTCTATTGTGCACCTCCATTCTCTAATCACTCAAGCTTCACATGCACGACTTGGGGTAGTTTATTTTTTCATAAATCATTGTTGGTTGGTGAGAAAATGAAAATGAAATCCTCTTCACACCAGTGACCCCTTTGCATTTAACAATCTGGGTTGTCCAATGACAGTCACATCCAGGTTGGTTGGATGTAGATAAAATCAATAGGTATGTGATTAGACAGCCGACTCGGGGTGGCTGCAGAATGGACAGGTCACCATTTGAGATGATGAATGGCTCTCTATCAACCTCCAGTCCCCTCTGATGCTAACATTTACTATAATCTTATTTGGGCTGCGATTTATCTTTCTTGCACCTGATCAATAAAGATGAACAGAACAGTTGTAAGGATCGATTTTAATTTTTTATCATTTTCAAGCATGAAGGTGCATTTTCTGACATGAAGACAATATTCTAAGTGTACTGCTTCTGCATTTAAAAAAAAAATCGCAATTTGAGTGATCAGCCACACTGGTCTATATACAGAGGGGTTTTAATTCATCTGTAGGTCTCAAGAGATCAAAAAGACATTTGTCTTCTCAGGTATTTTAACTCTAGGCTGTGTCACACCTTCCTATCAGTTCCACTTATAAGATTTTGCTTTCATTTAAAACACACACCAGTCACAAAGGCTCTTTTGCCCTGTTTTGTTCTAGCTTTACTTTGAACCCTTCTAACAAAGAGGGCAGTAAAAAGGAACTATTAGTTGCTGCTGACCCTGATGAGAAACTCCTCACATGACTATGAACTGTCAAATGAGTGTTATGCTACTGAATTATCTATTAACATGCTGGCAAAGCAATAACATCTTGATTAACACTTCCAATTATTTTGAGCATTGAAACTGGAATGTCCGGACAGAGCCGGCACTAGGTTGCAACATGTGCTTTCTGATTCTATTCTGTGACCTTATTAAGTCCTCCAGCCTCCCCCATTTCCTTTCCAGTGTTCCTAACCTATAAAATTAAGGTGATACCATGGAGCTCTTATCTCTGCCATAGCTGCTGTAGGCATCCCCTTTGAGAGGCCAGAAAGCTGTGAGGCCTGTTAAATGATTTTGCAGAGGAAGATCAACATCAAAATAATATCATTTCAAAGAAAAAGGGTGATGCCATTCTGGGTACAAATTCAAAATGATCAAAACTATTAAACTTTTTAACAAGAATGATGAACAAAGGCAAGAGTTCCCCCCTGGTACAAATTGGTGAGCTCCCCTCTGCTGTGTAAGGCCAAATGCAGGTAAAATTATTACATTCTGCAAACTTTCCTATGGGATGTCACACTAATACCTGCCCCTGCATTGCCTGCAAACTTAGCATATACTTTGTCAACTTGAATTTTTTGTTTTTATTTATGTTCCATATTTCCACCTCAGTGGCCTGTTGCCCTCAGTGCATAAATCTTTCTAACAAAGAAAAGTCTCCAGCAGGCAATGCCACATAACTAAGGGAATAGACACAAATAAGCTAACGATCTGTACATAGACAAAGTGTAATTCATTTTAAGCCTTTACTTATTCATTCAACAAAACCAAATCCTTATTATCCAAATAATATGCATCTTGGGGAGTTAGATCCTCATGGAGCTTTCCATGTGATATACAGTAAAAATAATTATAACAAAGGCACAAATGTTAACTTAAAGGTTACTGGAGTTCAGAAGGAATAGAGATCTGGTCTCAGATCTAGCTCATGCAAAAGGAGAGACTATAAATTGTCCTGGGTCAGGGAGGCCAGTCCAGACCACCTACACCTCGCCAACTCAGCATGAGTAAGCCCTGCTGAGACCAGAAGTGCCCAGCTGCTAGCACCCAAGTTGGTAACCTGCAGAATCATGAGGTAAGGAAATGGTTGCTGTTCTAAGCTACTGCATTTGGAGTAGTTTGTTACATAGATAAAGCTAACTGGCTCACCCCCTTTCTCTGCATTCTCACAGCACCATGGGCTTTTACCAGAGCACTCACCCACAGTGTGCATTTATGTGTGGTCTCCCCAATTCGCCCACAAAACCCCTAACAGCAAGGCTCTCATCCCACTCACCATTATATTCAGAGCACCCAGCAAAGCACATGACTCACAAACATACTGAAATGATGTCAGAGTGACACCACTCATGCTAAGCTGCATTCCAACCTTTGCTTTTGCTTTTATTTAAAACAGGATGGGACAGAGACAAGACTAAAGTAGGTGACATAACACGGAGAAAATGGGACACTACATTTATTACATGCCTCATACAAATTGACAAACAGGCCAGTCTGCCCTACCACGTAAAAAGGAAATGAATATTACTCAAGACTGTGTTCAACAGCAGTAACCGTACAATAACATTTAAAGCTACAAATAGTCGCTCAAACGAGAAAGTGGTTTCTTTTTCTCACGCAATAAGAAGTCTGGATGTTGGAAACCCAGAGCTGATGGAGGTGCCAAGGATATCATCAAATAAATAGGCCCTTTTCTGTATCCCTTCTCAGCCACCCTGAGCATTTGGCTTTTATCCTCACGGTCTCAAGATAGCTACTGCATCTCCATTTATCATGCCTGCGGTCTAAGGGAGGAAGAGAGTGGTAAATAAGGGAAGAGAAGCCTCCCAGAGGTTTCACTCACATCTCCTTGGCCAGAATTATAGATCACGCACAACCCTGGCTGCGGAAGAGGCTGGGAAATGCAGTATTTTTGTTTTCTCACTTCTAGAGTAAAGGAAGAGAAGGAAGAAATGTGTAATTGGTGTTTATTGAGCCAATTTATCATACCTGCTAAGATAGCTGAAGTAACAGCAGAGTCAGGAACAAAGCAGTGTGGTTGGGTTTGGGTGCAGGCATTCTAATATTTCTTTCCCATCTCCCTTCAGCTTCTAATCTGGGTGTAGGGGGTATACCTCTGGTATACTGATACCCAAAACCAAAGTTTCTTGACAGTGTAGGGAGGAAATAGGAATCAACAAGAGTGGGCATCCTTCCCACGTTTCTCTGGGCTGGCTATGGCCCAGGTTTCTAAATGTGTGATATGTTGCCATTTTCCACTTTCTGAAAAGTCTTCCTTTAAAAGCACATTTTAAAATGCACATGCACAGACGCACATTATTGCTAGATTGAAAAATATCTGTTTTCATGGTTTAAATCAGATAAAAAGAAAACATGCACACACAGTATTCTTGCAATCTTTTCGAGTTTCGAATCTTATTTCTTTCCTATTATAACTAATATGATCAGACCTGTGGCAGAGGAGGAGAGAACAAATCCAAAGGTCACAAGAAAAACTTGTTAACTAGCTCTTGTCAGTTTTTACAAAATGCTTCACATGCAGATCTGGGCACGGCTGCATCACGCATCACATTTTAAATTCTGGTTCTCTTGAGGTACAATTTAAATTCTGGTTCTCTGTGGGTAACACCAACTCACTATCCATTCAAGGGCAGTAGCAGCTCTGGTTGGGCTTAGCAGGAGTGAAAGGGAGGAAACACAAGTCTGACCATGGAGGTGAGCAGACTGGCTGAATAAGGGCTCTCCTCTCTCTAAGCTGATCTAGAATTACCACAACTCACCATCCCTCCTGTAACCCACCCCAACACAGGTGTGACTACCAGCCTAGCTATTTCAAACAAAGGTCTGGTGTTGACAACCACCCACAGTCTTCCTTTTGAAAATGTCTAAAAGAGGATCCCTATTGTTTAGTTAGATTCAAAGCAAACTTCTTTACACTTTTTGTTGTAATACTCGCCCAAGAACTGTTATAATACAGGGTGAGGCAAAAGTAGGTTTATAGCTGTGAGTATGTGAAACAGTTTATTCTTCGACTATTATTAACTAACTAGAGGCCTGGTGCATGAAATTTGTGCACTGGGGGAGGGGAGGCGGAAATCCCTGAGCCCAGCCTGCCCCCTCTCACAGTCCTGGAGCCCTCAGGGGATGTCCTACTGACTGCCGGCTTAGGCTCGCCCCCACAGGGAGCTGCAGTCTGACCTCCCTCTTTGGGAGGCCAGCAGGCTGATCAGGGAAAGGCGCCACCCCCATCACCCTCTGCCGCTACTGCCACTGCTGGCCGCCACAGCTGCCAAGGTTTTTCATCTACATGGACTCCAGTCCCTTTACCACAAAAAAATGACAACTTTCTTTAGGCATTTTCAAGTTGTCTTTTTTAGGATATGACATTTCTCCTTCCTTCCTTCCTTCCTTCCTTCCTTCCTTCCTTCCTTCCTTCCTTCCTTC